ACTTTGTCCAAAGATATTATCTTCTGTGAATTTTAAATGCCATTCCGATTCAATATTTTTACCCATGGTAATATTTGAATAAAGTCAAGCTTGTTATATTAAAGTTTTAATAAAGGAAAAAGAGTATTAATATGTTAAGTCATTAAATGAACAACGTACATAATGCGGTAATCTCTTGACTTTCCGATCAGCGAAATTTTTACAAATTTAGATGCAATATTACTACAATTAAAGTTTCGATTTTGTTTTAATAGTTAGCATTTGCACATATTTGGAAACGTTATCAAGGTCAGTTTGTAGGAAAGATGTACTTACATGAAATATTGTAATTTTGATTGGACAACGTGATTAGTATCCATTGTTTTACGGGCTGATAGAAAAATCTCGAGTCGAGGCCGCCCTGGGCCAGCCCGGGCTGACCATTTTATGAATGATTTTGAAAGATATTTAACTTTTATTGCACTTTAAATATAGATTGGAAGTTATTCAGATTCGATTTGATCTTTTTTTCTTTGGATTTATAAGAGATTCGTATTCGATGTTGTCTTATTGTCTACATTCCAACGTTTCCCGGCCGATAATTTCCGGGCCGGCCCGTACCACTACTTAAATGTAATCAAATAAATTTTCGAACATCAAAAAAAAAAAACGTGAAGTTTTTTTTTGATGTTCGAAATATAGTTGTTAGGCGAAACTATGTGATGCTATTCATCGCATAGCCACAAATAATTAACATGTTAATATTATTAACATGTGGCTATGTGATGATTAGCATCACATAGTTTCGCCTAACAACTATAGTTCGAAAATTTATTTGATTACATTTAAGTATAAATTATTGAAACGCCGTAATGTCATAATTGTTTTGATGAAAGGAAACCAACTAAAACATATCAGATTTATAGTGATTGAGTCCGACAAGAAATAATTAAAATTTTTTATTATTTACGGTAACAATTTACCAATTACCATATGGTAGAATGGTATAATGCCGTAATTCATTAATTCTACCACCAACTATATATTTAAGTTTATTTATTAAATTTGTCATGATTTTGTTGCTTAATAATATTTGATTCAGTGGTGTTTAAAATCTGCTGAATGTGGTAACTCCAGTGCACAACATGATCTTGGATTTTGTTATGTACGTGGCATAGGAACTGTTAAGGATGAAAAAAAAGCATTTGAGTGGTATTTAAAATCTGCTGAAGGCGATAATTATGATGGACAAAGCAACCTTGGATTATGCTACGAGAATGGGATAGGCATTAATAAAGATGGAAAAATGGCATTTGAATGGTATTTAAAATCAGCCAATGGTGGTAATTCTAGTGGGCAATGCAACCTTGGATCCTGCTATGAACGTGGCATAGGTACTGAGAAAGATGAAAAGAAAGCATTCGAATGGTATTTGAAATCTGCTGAAGGTGGTAATTCTAGAGGACAATATAATCTTGGATTTTGTTATAAGTATGGAATAGGTACTGATCAAGATCAAAAAAAGGCATTTGAATGGTATTTGAAATCTAGCGAAGGTGGCAATTCTGTCGGACAACGAAATCTTGGACATTGCTACCAAAACGGTGCTGGCACTGACAAGAATGAAAAGAAAGCATTTGAATGGTATTTAAAATCTGCTGAAGGTGGTGACCCTGGTGGGCAAGCTAAACTTGGTTATTGCTATCAATATGGAATAGGTACTGCTAAAGATGAAAAGAAAGCATTTGAGTGGTATTTAAAATCTTCCGAAAGTGGTGATTCCAATGGGCAATGCCATCTTGGGTTTTGCTATAAACATGGTATAGGCACTGATAAGAATAAAAACCAATCATTTAAATGGTATTTAAAATCTGCCGAAAGTGGTAATTCTCGTGGACAGCGCAATGTTGGAGATTATTATCAATATGGCATAGGCACTACTAAAAATGTTAAAAAAGCATTCGAGTGGTATTTAAAATCTGCGGAAAGTGGAGATCCTGTTGGACAACGTAATCTTGGGATTTGTTATGAGAATGGCATAGGCACTATAAAGAATGAAAATAAAGCATTCGAGTGGTATTTAAATTCTTCAAAAGGCGGTAATCCAAATGGTCAATGTAACCTTGGAGATTGCTATAAATTTGGAATCGGTACTGATAAGAATGAAGAAAAGGGATTTGAATGGTATTTAAAATCTGCCGAAGGCAATAATGCTAACGGACAATATAATCTCGGATATTGTTACCAATATGGTATAGGTACTTCAAAGGATGAAAAAAATGCATTTGAGTGGTATTTGAAATCTGCCAAAGGTGGTAATTCTAGTGGACTATTTAGTCTTGGAGACTGTTATGAAAATGGCGTAGGCACCGTGAAAAATGAGAAAATGGCGTTTGAGTATTACTTAAAATCTGCTGAAGGTGGTAATTCTGCTGGACGATGTAAAATTGGACGTTATTATCAATACGGCATAGGCACTGTTAGTAATAATAAAAAGGCATTTGATTGGTATTTAAAATCTGCTGAGGGTGGTGATTTCAGTGGACAATATAATCTTGGACTTTGTTATGAACTTGGTATAGGTATTGTTAAGGATGAAAATAAAGCATTCGAGTGGTATCTAAAATCTGCTGAAGGAGGAGATCCCAATGGGCAGTTTAATATTGGTATCTACTATGAAAGTGGCATAGGCACTATAAAGGATGACGAAATGGCATTCAAGTGGTATTTAAAATCTGCTGAAAGAAATAATTCTGATGGTCAGCGTAATATAGGATATTGTTATCATTATGGCATAGGAGTTTCTAAGGATGAAAATAAAGCATTCGAGTGGTATTTAATTTCCGCTAACAATGGCAATTCCGTTGGACAATATTGTATTGGATATTGCTATCAATATGGTATCGGTACCGCAAAAGATGAAAGAAAAGCATTTAAATGGTATTTAAAATCTGCAGAAAATGACGATCCTAATGGACAATATAATCTTGGTATCTGCTATGAAAATGGCATTAGCACTGCGAAGGCCGAAAAAAAGGCATTTGAATGGTATTTAAAATCTGCTGAAGGAGGTAATCCTAGTGGACAATGCAACCTTGGACTGTGCTATGAGAATGGCATTGGAACCGTCAAGGATAATAAAAAGTCATTTGAGTGGTATTTAAAATCCGCTGGTAATGGTAATTCCGTTGGACAATATAATCTTGGTTATTGTTATCAAAATGGCATAGGAACAACTAAAGATGAAAAGAAAGCATTCGAATGGTATTTGAAATCTGCTGAAGGCGGTGACTCCAATGTACAATTTAATCTTGGAATTTGTTATGAGAATGGTATAGGCACAGTAAAAGACGAGAAAAAGGCATTCGAATGGTATTTGAAATCTGCTAACGGCGGTAGCTCTATTGGGCAATGTTATCTTGGGTATTGTTATCATTATGGTATAGGCATTAATATAGATAATAAGAAAGCATTTGAATGGTTTTTAGAATCTGCTAAAGGTGGTGATTTTAGTGGACAATGTAATCTTGGATCTTGCTATGAACATGGTATAGGCACTATAAAAGATGGAAAGAAGGCCTTTGAGTGGTATTTAAAATCAGCAGATGGTGGTGACTCTATTGGACAATGTAATATTGGACACTGTTACCAATATGGTTTAGGTACTGCTAAAGATGAAAAGAAAGCATTCGAATGTTATTTACAATCTGCTAAAGGTGATAACTCGGTTGGACAACGTAATCTTGCACATTGCTACCAATATGGTATTGGCACTGCTAAGAATGAGACGAAAGCATTTGAGTGGTATTTAAGATCGGCTGAAAGAGATGATCCAAATGGACAATGTAGCCTTGGAATCTGCTATGAGGATGGCATAGGCACTATAAAAGATGAAACAAAGGCATTTGAATGTTATTTAAGGTCTTCCGAGAGTGGTGATTCTAATGGACAATGTAATCTTGGCTTTTGCTATATGCATGGAATAGGTACATATAAGGATCAAAAGGAAGCATTTAAGTGGTATTTAAAATCTGCCGAAGGTGGTAATTTCAATGGACAGTATTGTATTGGATTTTGCTTTGAGCATGGTATAGGCACTGCTAAGGACGAAAAAAAAGCGTTTGAGTGGTATTTGAAGTCTGCAGAAGGAAATGATTCTAATGGACAATGTAGTCTTGGATTCTGTTATAAGCACGGAATAGGCATCGCTCGTGATGATAAAATGGCATTTGAATGGTATTTAAAGTCTGCTAAAAATGGTAATTCCGTTGGACAACGTAATCTTGGGTATTGCTACCAATATGGTTTTGGTACAGTTAAGGATGAAAATAAAGCATTTGAATGGTATTTAAAATCTGCAAAAGGCGGTGATTTTAGTGCACAATGTAATCTTGGATTTTGCTACAGGCATGGTATAGGCACTATTAAGGACGAAACGAAGGCTTTTGAGTGGTATTTAAAATCTGCTGAAGGTAATGATTCCAATGGGCAATCTAATCTTGGATTCTGCTATGAAAATGGTATTGGAACTATTAAAGATAAAAAGAAAGCATTTGAATGGTATCTGAAATCTGCTGAAAACGGTAATTCAAATGGGCAAATATGCGTTGGGAGTTGTTATCTTAGTGGAATTGGTACTATTAAAGACGAAAAGAAGGCATTTGAATGGTATTTAAAAGCTGCTGAAAGTGAAAATTCGGATGGACAATATAATATTGCATATTGTTACCAATATGGTATGGGAGTTGCTAAAGATGAAAAGAAGGCATTGGAGTGGTATTCAAGATCTGATAAAAGCATCATAAGTTAATTTAGAATAAATAATGTTAATTATTTTGTAATTTAAATATCCAGTGAAAATAGCATAATACGCTTAATAGATATTGATAAGTTGTATCGTTATTATGCGATTTTTGTGTTTTAATCATGTTGGCCGTTTGTATATAAAACTAATATTATTGATTTATATACATTCAGCGACAAATTGAAATGGAAGAACATAACGAATTTTCAAATTCAAATGGCCTTATTAATATTTATTTATATTTTATTCTTTAATCGATTGAAAAGCTATATTATCAACATTATAAATATTATAATAATTAAGAGTAGATTGTACTATTTTAAATAATATAACTTTATGATAGTTATAGGTATCTGATATCCTAAAATATTATAGCAGCAAGTTTCACGCCATATATACGAGAATATTTTCTGAAAATATATAATTTATATAAGACAATTCACACTCTAAAGTATTATATAATTTTTTTTAGAGTATTTATTCTACCAAGCCTATAATTAGCAGCATATGTAAAAATCTTATATACGTTTAACCATTATCGGTTATCGTATTTACCAAAAGGGAGATATATAGCCTCCTAAGTTATTTATTTTAATTTTAATGGTTCTGTTTTGGAGTAATGATTGTATCGGTTCCGACCTTTAATCTTAAAGATACTGACTTTATATTATTTTCATCATAACAT